TTCTTGTTCCCTTAGTTCTTGAAAAGGCAGGCTTTTCTGCCAACTCTACCTACATGCACATAAACACACACACACACACACACACACACACACACACACACACCAATTTGATTACACTCTACTCAGAGTTTCCCTAAGTACTCCATTATGGTATGGGAGGTAGTTTTAGATACACACAAATATTTTTTTGATATTTATGTATACTTTGATAGGCATTAGAAATATACACTAAGCATAGCAAAACCACTAATATAAATATTATTTCTTAGGTTAAGAAATAATTTAAATAAGTCAATTGAATTAAATGATTGCATTAATGTTAATACCGGCAGAATTTGGATGCAACAAAATTCTTGAAGGGAGCATGTGAGTGACTAACATGTGGGAAGCACTAACTTAATTGTATTTTGAAGATTTTAACCAATTCAGAAAAGGTCTTATCAAGTGCTATCTGAAACATATGCCAGAAGTGTTTTATTCTTCATTGTTTTGGCATTTCAGCCTGAAAATTCCTTTAGGAAATCTGAGTTATTTCACATTCACTTTATATTGGTCATGTTAGGTACTTTAAATGTGAGACTTTAATCAGATATAGTTAGGTGAAATAATCAGGCCAATTAAAATGAAGGGAAATTCTGTAAAACAACTGGACTCTATAAAAATCTCTATGTCATAAAAGACCAAAACAAATAAAAACAAACAAAGCCCAAAAGACCATGTCTGGGGAACCATTCTAAACAAAAGGAAACTAAAAAGATATGACAATCCTATATAATAAAAGCCTAATATGCAAATTGACCGAACGGCAGAACAACCAGTCACTATGACATGCACTGACCACCAGGGGGCAGATACTCAACACAGGAGCTGCCCCCAGCCCACAGGCCCCAGGCTGACAGTAGCCCCACAGCAGGAGGCAATCAGTGGTGGTGGCAGCAGGTGGGATCAGGGAACAGGCAGCACCAGGCTGACCAAAGTGGGTGCCCTCCCCCCATCACCCTGCCAGTTGCCCCACAGATCGGCCCTGATCACGAGCCAGGCCTGGGGACCCTACCCATGTATGAATTTTGTGCACTGGGCCTCTAGTTAAATGTAATGTATGGTCCTTAATTGGACCCTGGATAAAAAATAAATTATAAAGGACACTTGGATATACTTAAGGAAATTTGAAAACCAACTTTGTATTAGAATATAGTATACTTCTAAATATTAAATTTTCTGAATATGGTAATTATAGTATGAGGGAATAATCTTGTTGAGATATTTAGGGATGAAATACATCAATATCTGCAACTAACTCTCAGTTTAAGCCAAAGTATATATACATCCACATATACTCACTTGCACATATAATGCCCATATACACACACAGATATATACATGTACATAACGCACATATGCACATACATATACACAGATGCATAAACATATGTGCTCACATTTAAACATATGCCATAGATGTGTGTACATGGAGAGGGAAAGCAAATGTGACAGAATATTAACAGTTGGTTAATCTGAATGTTCACTGTGCAATTCTTGCACCTTTTCTGTAGACTTAGACTTCAAATTTTTCAAAATAAAAAGCTGCAAGAAAATATTAGACTTTTTGAGATAAGTCACAGAGGTAATCTAAGAATTTCACTGTATAAATCAAGAAGTAGGTGTTCAGGAATCGGATAACACTTTTTAAAAAATCCTATATAATAAAAGCCTAATATGCAAATTGACCAAACAACCAGTGGAACGACTGGTCGCTATTACATGCACTGACCACCAGGGGGCAGACGCTCAGTGCAGGAGCTGCCCCCAGCCTGCAGGCCCCAGGCCAGCCAACGCAGGTGCCAGTGGGGGCTCTCCTATCGCCCCACCAGTTGCCCCACAGATGGGCCCTGATCGCTGGCCAGGCGTAGGGACCCTACCTGTGCACAAATTTCATGTACTGAGCCTCTAATTATTATTATTCTTATTGCTCACCTCACCCTATTTTTAAATTTTTGTTGTTGTTTTTATTTTACCCATCTCCCCTTCCACTTTGCCTACCATCAGATTGTTTTCTTATCTTTGGATCTGTTTCTATTTTGCTTATTCATCATTTTTTACATTCCACATGTAAGTGAGATCATGCAATATTTATCTTTTTTTGTCTGACTATTTCACTTAGCATATCATCTAGGTTCATCCATGTTATTGCAAATAGCAAGATTTTTTATTACTGAATAATAATCCATTGTATATGTGTTCCACCTCTTCTTTATCCATTCATCTATCAGTGGACACCTAGGGTTGCTTCCATATCTTGGCTTTTGTGAATAATGCTGCAATGAATATAAGGGGCCATATGTCTTTTTGAATTAGTATTTTTGTTTTCTTTGGATAAATACCACCCAGAAGTGGAATTGCTGGCATGAATGGTAGCTCTATTTTTAGTTGTTTGATGAATTCCCCATACTATTTTCCATATTGGCTGCACCAATTTTCAATTGATTTGCATTTCTCTGATGATTAGTGATGGTAAGCCTCTTCATATATCTGTTGACCATTTGTATGTCCTCTTTAGAGAAATGTCTATTCAGATCCTCTGCCCATTTTTTAATTGGGTTGCTTGTTTTTTGTTGTTAAGATATAGGAATTTCTTACATATTTTGGATATTAACCCTTTATCAGATTATCATTTGCAAACATCGTCTCCCACTCAGTAGGCTGTCTTTTGGTTTTGTCGATGGTTTGGGATGACGTTTTTCTTGAGCTCACTAAGGAGCATGCTTACATTGGTGCAGAGACCCACAGCAGCTCCACAGCTATTCCTCCACTAAAATTCCCTCCACCAACCAAGTAACGATTAGACATAACGCGGGCCTCTGGGCAGCAGACCCGAAGACGAATCCAGTTCATGGTGACTTCCTGGATTCTAGCTTGCATAGGCCTGTCTATTACAGCCGATAAAACAATACGATTATAGAATAGCCTCTGCTCTAGTATAATAAAATGTTTGTGAATTCAGAAGTCCTTCAATAACTATTTATTGAGTGTCTACATGGTCCAGGTATTGTTCCTAGGGCAGAGGAAGATGGTTAAGATCTAATTCTCCTGGAGATGACGTTCTTGAGTGGGAGGGACAGAAGTAGCTAAGCAAGTACTGAGATGAATCAGGTGATATAAAAAATTGCCAAGTCTTATAAAGAAAAAGAAAGTATGAGAGTAACGTGACAGGGAGTGATGAAGCAGGGTTTTGTGGAAGGCTTCTCTGAGGAGCTGATGGATCATTAATATCACAAGGAAGAGCTATTTTGCTTTAAATGTCTCTGCTGTTTATTCCTAATTCTCACGGCCTTTGAGCTTGCCTCTGATGTCAAGGTCAAGAATCTTCTGAAGCCCGACTGTTCTGCTGGACTGCCTCAGGGTCAGTGTGTCTGGTGTATTTCACACCAAGTGACAACAGAGTGGCCGACGCACAAGTGTGCTCTCGTTCCCCTATGCTCTTGTTGACGAATGCAGGTGTTCTCTGTGTACTTCTCATCTTTTATGATGGACTTTTAAGGAAGTTTAATTCACAAACCACGCAAAGCTCATCATTTGCTCCTACTGACACACGGTGATGAAAGTGAGTTATTGTTCCTGAATAATGCTGCAAGGAAGCCTTCCAACCAGCAATTTTCAATAATGCCACATTGGCACCCCTCTGAATTACTATCTGCTTTGGCTAATTCAATACGACAGGTTTCTAAAGCAATTTGAGTTCATGTGAAAGCAGTGAGAGAGAGTATTCAAACTTACTTAAAGGAGGGCGGGAGGAAGGAACTTATATTGCAATCTCCTGTAACACAGATCGAGATTTACTTGGATTCATTTCCTGGAGGCATTCAATATATTTTATCTTTTTCTTTTTCAGTCACCTTTTCAGTTACATCTGATAATTATATTCTATCGGCCGTGCTTCAGTTTACCCCAGAGTATAGAATACATCAGCTGATTCTCTGGCTCAGAGGCCAATATTACTTAGCATGAGAGAAATTCCAGTTTTTAAAAAGGAGGTCAACATATGCCCCACATATAAAAATCACTCAGGAAATAGGCCGGCAGGTAAAAAGGAACTATGTAGGATTCTGAATATCAATGTTCCTTCTCTTCCCCTGTTTCCACCTGACTGAACCAAAGCTGGCTTTCCAGATGGCAAGGTGTGGGCCAGGCAGCGTGGTATTGGTATAAACGAAAGGATTTGGAATCAGAGAACCTGGTTGCAGTCCCAGCCGTGCCACCTATGACTGTGAACTTGGCTCAAGGCCTGGCTCATTGTAAACATTCAACAAATATGAACCCCATTTCCTCCTCCTCCATCTTCTTTGCCTTACCATTCTGTCTCTCAGCTCCCATCAGGCGTGTTGCCCTTCTTTCTGTCTGTAGAACATGCCACGCATATTCCTGCTTCAAAGCTGCTGTACTTGCACTTCTTTCTGCTGGATATGTCCCTCCCACAGATCACCCCATGGCTTTCTACTCACTTTTAGTTCTCATCTCAAATGCCACCACTAAGAGCAGCCTTCCCACGCTTGGTCACTCTCTAACATATTACCCTGATGGGTTTTCTTCATGGCTCCTCTCACTGTCTTTTGTTACCTTGATAATTTATTTGTTTGTTTGTATTATCTTTCTCCCAGTTTCCACCCTGAGCCCTGTGGGAGCAGAGTCTTGACTATTGTGGGTATACCAACACTGGTATATATTAGGTGCTCAATAAATATTAGTTGCATGGAAGTTATTGGGACCTCCCTGAGAGATGGAAGAGCCTTGCATGGCTCTTCTGAAGGTCAGATGATGCAGATCTCAGGGAGTCATTTGGAAATTATCAAATACTTATTATTAAGTCTTCTCTACCTCATCCATGAAGCACCTCTTCCCATCACCCCAGACTGAAGTGCCCTTTTCATATCCTTGGCAGCTTTTTCTGTAAAGGTCTTGCTTTTCTGACACGTAATTTAACTCCTGATACCTTTCATTGACAGGTGTTTCAAATGAAACTCGGAAGAATTTAAAGCAAGATGAAAGATTCTCCAGCTTGGAAATTGGTACTCAGCCTACAGTTTAGAGATGTAAGTACACAGAGCAGGCAGCATTTACACAATGCCCAGCAGCAGAGGGAGACCGTATTGAGAATGCAGGCTACACACAGCCTCCCTGTGCCAAGTTAGGCCTAAAGAAAACAGTATCATATGCCTGGTTTGGGGGAGGGAGGACATAAATGCAGAGGGTTCTGCTTGGCGGCAGGCACGCTGGTGCCAAGGCCACGGCCACGGCCCATTTCTGTTCCTTGTGTTCTTTCAAGACAGCAGCTCTGTGATGGAGGAGGACAGTGCTGATAATGCGTTGCCGGGGACATCTTGCCCGTGGAAAGTAGAAGGATTCTTTTTTTTTTTTTTTTTTTATCTACCTACCTTTGTGGAAAAATTTCAACCTTTACTATTTATAACCTTTTCCGTCTTCAATCAACATGTAGTATGTTGGCTTTGAAACAGCTTGATTTAAATTGTGGAGAAAAGGAAGGGGAGTTTTCAGAAATCTCAATCCATTATTCATGATGTTTAGAAAGATGTGTGGTTTTCTGTTTTTTCACAAGTGAGAAAATCATCCTGATAGAAGCTGAATCAGGTAGCAAATTGTGTTGATTTCAGAGGGTGAAACCCCTTCCTCGCTGCCACTTTGCAGACACAATACTGTTTTCAAGGGCCTTGTGCCTTCTCCCCTCCCCATCTCAGTTTTTCCAGGAAAGGGGTCATTTAATGGTCAGTGGAACTTGACATTTCTAGTTTAAGAAAATGTAACCATATTTTGAATTTGGGGACAATTACTTCACCCGTGGGTCTCAAAATGCATCATCCCCCTCTATTTTGAAGTATAAGAATTTTGGTAAACTGACTCCAAAAAAAGGAGAGTGCACAGCCAACCTGCTTTCTCCTCTCCCTTTCTCAGAGGGGCAGAATCCTGCCCAAACCTCCCAGGACCTGGGCTTTCATGTTAAACACCCAAGAGAAACCTTATAAAAATACTCAGATCTACTGAAAAAAGAAGTATATAGCACAGGATTTTGATGCAAAATGTTTTAATTATATAATTTTTTTATTTGAGTGACTTAAAGAATGAACAATTGAAACATCAAATTTGTAATATGGGCTATACTTTAAAATGATGAATTACACTGTGTATATTCTCTTAAACTCACATTTCTCCCTTTAGGCAACTCAAAAATAAGAACTGGCAATTTTTATTCTTTTGGAGAACTGAAGATTTCTTGTAAGGAGTTTTGTTTAAAGAGGAGTGGTGAATAAGTCAGCACAGGAGAAATCACAAATTAAATCCAGCCCCGAATACAGCTCATTCAGAGGATTCAAGCAAACCTCTTTTGTTATTTATTTTTGAAGCTCCTTATGTTTTTTAAAAAACAATTAGAAATAGAAAGTAGATCTTAAAGGGGTCCAAGGGTTTCATATTGTATCATCTAACTCAAGGCCAGGCTGCCCCAGGTAGGACCAACCACTAGACAGAATTTCCTTGAAACATCACATGAGTGATTCTTTCCCTTGCTGGCATGTTTTTGAGGATGAAAAGCTTCCACTGGCCTTTGTGAAGAAACTAACATTTGAGCTCCAAGGTTCAAAGAGAATGCTTTGCCCCTCTGACTTCTCTGTGCTGTTTCTTTGGAAACTTCAGTTCAGAACATTTCGTCTTTAGTTCAGAACACCACAAGAACAAGTAAAGAGAATTTTTCTAGATGCCCGTTATATGACAGTTTTCTCCAGGTCCTTTTCACATATTCCCCATATTTAAAAAAATTAAACTCTGAGTTTTAATTTTATGGTTTTTGACCTAAGATCTTATATTCCCATTCTATTTGAAGGAGAATTCCCTCAGTTTAGGTTTCTATCAGTTTATGCCTGTTCTCAGATTTGCTTGTTCTTCACCTTCTTCCTCTACCTCAGGCCTTACTTCAGATTACCACCAGATTCATTTTCCCAAAATGCTACTTTGAGTTGGTAACTTCCTTGCTTAAAGTACTTGGTGATTCTCAGCTATCGATTAAGTCATATTCCTTAACCTGGCATTCAAGGCCAACCATGGCCTCCTTCTCCTTCTCCAAATATATTTCATGGTGGAATTCAAGGCCAACCATAGCCTCTGCCTTCTCCTAATATTTTTCATTTTGCATCTCAGTGCTCATGCTGGATGTCATACACACTACTGATGGTCTTGGCACATACTCTAAATTTTCTATGCCACTGATGTAGTCTCTGCTTAAGACTTTCTCCCTTCTCTTCCCTTTTACTTGTCCATTCCTATTGCATCCTTTCTAGACCCAGGTCAAGAACTAATGCAAGTAGTTGACCACCTCTGATTACAATAATCCCTCCTTTTAAATAAACTTTTTATCTTGAGATTATTTGCTCTATTTTCCCTTTTATATGCTGTTTCCAAGACTACATGTCTTATGGTCCAAGACCATGTCTCATAACTTTGTGTACCTCTATTCACTGCATAGCTTGCCATCTGACACATGATAAGTATTCTGCAATATTTGTTATTTGTTCTCAAAAGTGATGTAAGTCTCTTTCTAATAAATAGGAAGCCTAAGTGGCTTCCATTTCTTTAAAAAAAAACTTTTTATTAAATTTATTGGGGTAGCTTTGGTTAGTAAAATGACATAGGTTTCAAGTGTACAGTTCTATGATACATCACCTATATATTGCATTGATATTTACCACCCAAACTCAAATCTCCTTCCATAAACATATATTTGACACTCTTTACCCTTTATTATCCCACCAACCCCTTTCCCTCTGGAAACTACCACACAATCATCTGTGTAGTTTTTCTTTATTTATCGTGTTTGTTCATTTGTTGCTTTCAGTTTTATTCCCACATGTGAATGAAATCATATGGTTCTTGACTTTTTCTGCCTGACTCATGAGTCAACTAAGCTTTTCTGTTGAACCTCGGAAACCGTATCAGGTCACTTTACTTCCAGAATATGGGCTGTTGTAGCCAGGGTCTGAAAGGCCCAGGAAAGAGAGTGTGAAACATATTTGGAAGCGGGAGCATGCTAGATCCAGAAATGGGGAGAAATGGGCCGCCCAGCTCAGCCCGTAAATGGCATATCTAGGGTGGGGCAGTATAGCAGCTTACTGTGGGGCAGGCAATAAAGGCACATAGAAGATTTAGAACTATCATGAAACCAACTAAGAGTTGTTCTGCTTCTGATCAGCAAACACCAGCATTTCTAAACACTGTCAGTAATGAAGTACTCTTTCCTCCCACAATATGCATATTTATTACTGTTAAATTTTAATAGTATAAGAAAGCTCCAAATTAGCACATCACCATTATTATTGTTGTTATTATTATTATTGAATAAATGCTGTATTCTACACAGAAGTTAATTCGGAGAAGTCCCAGATATGCAGACTGTCACACATAGCCTCAGTTACCCACTCACAAAGAAAAACTGAATGGTTCCAGATCCTTCTCTTGCTTCTCGCATAACTGGTGGCGCCAGCCCAGTAGTACTGTGTATGTTTGCATTAATCTAGTAGATTTGGAGCAAACAGTGGAGCACTGTGGTTGTAAAACTAAATAGAACCTGAGTTGCAAAAATTCTGCCATTTTCTGTGACCACTTGTGGTTTTTCTTGGTGTTTAACTGTTAGCTATTTCCAGCTATATAATTTTGTTTGGTGAGTGTACATTTTTTAAAAAAATAAAACAACTTTGTTTTTTATTATTGATTTTCAGAGAGGAAGGGAGAGAGATAGAAACATCAATGATTAGAGAGAATCACTGATTAGCTGCCTCCTGCATGCCCCCTACTGGGGATCGAGCCTGCAACCTGGGTATGTGCCCTTGACCGGAATCAAACCTGGACCCTTCAGTCCATAGGCCGACACTCTATCCACTGAGCCAAACCAGCTAGAGTGGTGAGTGTACATTTTAGTTTATACATGCAGTTATGTTTGCTCCATTTCATGATTATCATGGATAATCATTTCTTCCATATAGAGGAGGGTATGTTAAAATGATTACTCCTAGAGGCATGTAGAGTAAGAGTTCCCCTGCATCAGATGTGCTTGTTTTACTGAAGAACGTGAGCGTGTGTGTGTGTGTGTGTGTGTGTGTGTGTGTGTTCACCTGTTAGTATTTGTCTCCTCTGCTAGTCTCAGCTTCCATAGGAACAGGAAATTTGCTTCATCAATGCTGTATCCTGGACATCTTTCAATAAATACTTGTTGAGTGAATGAATGAGAGAAGTGTCATAATATATCCCACAGACACCTTTCATTGATTGTCTTCTCTCCAAACAAATGGGTTACAGAAGTACTGTTTGCCTAGCCTAAAGAATGTGGTTTTCTTGAAATAGATGGAAAATCACCCGAACTTCCTTACCCACCTATTTAGCCTGCAAACCTAACTCAGAAGGGGGCAGCATCGTCAAAGTGACCATATATTGAGAGTTTACTATAATTAGGCCCTTTAATATGTATTATCTCAATGAATTCTCAAAAAGGCCTTGTTATAGGTGACAAAACAACCACACTTGTGTGACATCTAAGCCCGTCCTGTCCCTGGGACTGGGAAGGAAGGACAGCTGGGGACTGCATTTCTCACAGCCTCGGCTGCTTTGGCACCAGCTTCTCCCAGCATCTGCTGCCGGGAAGTGTTAGGTGTCATCGCACAGCTGTGAAGTGGGGCAGAACCAAGAAGCAAATGGAATAGCACAGCGGAGCCAGGGAACTAAATGCCAGCCTCCAGAGGGTAGGAGAACACACTCAGCTCAAGTTCTGCAAGAATAAAGGTGCTTGGGGGAGGGCGTGTAGGAATCCGTTAGTCCAGAGTCAACCGCGCATAAAGAGGACGGGCCATTTCCAATGTCCCTGACTCAGTATGCCTCTGCAGAGATACTCATTATTTTGCCTCACACTTTGCACCATTCACCCACAACCCCACTTTTTAAAAACAATCTATCGATGTTTTAGAGACATTAAGACAAAACATTTTTTAAAGTGCATCCTCTGTTATTTACCAGTTTGAAATGCACCTAACTCAGT